ACTTCCTGCAATTTCCTTTGCTCTGTGAGTTCAGGCATAATATATCGGTTCTTGCTATCTGCCTCCAGAAGCGTTAGCAGGAAAGTAAGCAAAAACTGACAGAGAGGTTGGGGAAGATTAAGGGAATCCCTGTTTAGCACTGTTAGGGTGCCAGACAGCAGCAGCCTCACACTGATTTCGGCAGGTGAGCAGATCAAAGAATTACACTTAGAGGGACTAGAGGCAAAGTTGTTACAAAATCCCTTATCCAGAAAGAAACTAGATTAAAAATTGTCAACAGGGGAACGTGGATTTGCCAGTGGGTGAAGCCGTATGGTCCCCGGGGGAAGCCACGCTCTAGGGTCGGTCCAGCCCGAGGATGGAGCGTGGCTGAGCCCTCGGGGTGCCGGGCGATCCCTCTGGCCTGGGTGGGTTTGGTCCTCTCCTCCAGGCCAGGCATCTGGGTGAGATTTTTAGCATCGTTGCCTGGAGTGTGGATGGTCAGATCATCCACGGGCTGCACGAGGCCTGACGGAGCTGAGCTTTCCTCCGGGCTGACAGCAGGGATACAGAGCTCTTCAGTGAAACACGTGAGCTCCAGCTTCAGTGCCCGTCCCACGGATGGAGGGGCCAGGGGACAGCGATGGTGTGAGCACGATGGGGCCGTGGGGTCAGGGGTGTGAGTGGCGGCCGGGTCTTTGCTCTGTTAACGGGGTGAGTGGTGGCCAGGTCTTTGCTGCAGCAAGGCCGGAGGGCCAGCAAGCGGATCTGGGCAGGGTAACCTTGAGGGGGAGGGCATCAACATCCAGGCAAAATCCTGGGGCCAACGGAGGAGTATAAAGAGCTTGAGAGCGGCAGTGGGTGACACAAGCAGGGAAACCCCAGCAGCACCCAAAGGAGCCTGGTAAGCCCCCACCGGCACCCTGCCCCAGCCGGGGAGGGATGGAGGGACGGAGCGCCTTCGGGTTCAGGTGTGTGGGTGCCTGGGGGGTGGCTGGCTCTGAGCTCTGGGTTCGAGCGTGGCTGGGAAGTTGGGGGGCTCCATGTGGGCCTGGCTGCCCATTTTGGCTGCCTGCCTGTGGACTCCCCATGCTGGAGGCACCCATGGAGGGGGGAGAGGGCAGCCCAGCCTCTAACATCTGCCAGGGCATGGCCGGAGCCGGGAAGTACAGACTGGGAGTCTGTCCTCCCAGGGCACAATGCGGGGTGTCCCCAGCCCATGGGCTCATGTCTGCCTGTGCCAGTGAAGGGGGTCAAAACAGCAAGACCCCAGCAATGCACGGTGCTCCCCAGTGCTCCCCAGGGACCTGAGAGCATTGCTGGTACCCAGTGGCGGTGTGACCCCCCTGCACGCCACGCTGAGCCCACCGCATCCTTCAGGCACCACAGAGAGACCCTGTGCCCTGCTCCCCCGTCCCTGGAGCTCAGCAGGGACTGGGATGCGCAGCCGGGTTTTGACCTCCGGGTGGGGGACCCCTCGGCTCCGCTGCCGCAGGGGTGGCTGTGGGTCGGGGTCAGGCCTGGCGGTGGGGCAGGGGTCCCTTGGGACGTGGGGGGGTGCATTCAGCAGTGGGGAAAAAGCGGTAGCGTGGGCCACTACTGGGGTTACGGCCCTGAAAGCGGCGGGGGGGGG